ATACCGTACCCAAAACATAAAAATTCACCAATCCGTTTGTCTATAAAAAGGCAACTGTTTTAGGGTTGCATTTTTGTTCACCCTGTAGATAAAAAAACTAAATTACATTTGGATGTGATACAAAGCTGGGATGCGACTTATAAATCTAGTGTTGTATAAATATTTTTAAATGAGTAAAATGAAAGGAAATGCTGATTTGTATAGTCTGAACCGGTCATGTTATTTAATATTGATCATGAACAAGTCATATCATAAAAAAGAGCAAGACAATTCAAAATGAGAAGCAGTAGTGCCTAATTGGCATGTTAAATGTTCTCGATCAGGGGAACAAATCCTTCCAAAGTACAGGTTTGATCATATAGAACACAAAGAAAATATGATCCTTTTTCTTTTAGAAAATGAAAATGAGAGTAAAGATGCTTGAAGACTAGGTCTATAGCTTGGAAAAACCCATAAAATATTTTGAGACAATGATATGTTTCATATCGCAGTATTATTTCCTAGTTTTATTTTCGGGGGAAAAATTGCAATAACTTCCTCATTTTCAAAAATGAATCCAAATAATAACCACTCTGTATTTATTTTTGCTTTTGTTGAATTTTTCTAAGGTTATTTTTTTTACAATATATCCTTGTTGATGAAAAGATTTATGGCGCACATAATGCATCTGCAATGTAGGTGGTCCTGTATGCATTCACTGCATATAAACCACAGACGCCATGGTGATTTGGCATTCTGCCAAGAACCCAAACATGTACATGTAGCACTATACATACACGTAGCGTGGGCGAACAAAATTATCATGGCTACCAAACACAGTCATACTATTCATGCATAATACAAGTGCAGCTATAATAAACTTCCCCCTTGACCTTTCCTAGGTACAATGCCACTGGTTCCCGGTCCCTCTATTCACTGCGGTTTGTGGGGCCGGAACCAGTCCAGGGCATGATGTCATTGGATAACCTCATGCTGGGGAAAGTCCCTTTTGGCTCCCAGACTGGGCGTTGTTTATATAAATTATGCATAAACACACAGACCTTTGGCTTGGTACAGCGTCTGTGAGCAGTGAGGGATAAGCTGCAATGATGAACAATGACTCGCAATACTTTACTGCAGCATATGTAGGCTGTTTGTGTAGCCAGTTGCCCGACAACCACTGATGACTAATTTGTTTTCATCTAAACAGAGTTGTTGTGCATCAGAAAATATAATCCCCCAAACTAAAAATATGTCCATAATGAAATATATTTCTCTGAAGCATTTTTTGCACATAATTATTTTTCACAGTGTTGGGCAACTGCTGATACCCTTGTGGGTCACATGCTGACCACATTCTCTAAGTCTGAGGTTGTATGTTCGGTTTTATGTCCCTGTAAAATCTGGATAACTGACCATGCTCCTTCAGTGAAGTAGCACGCAAAAGGCCTAACATTTTCTTTTAATGTAATTCTGGTGGTCTTTCAATTCTGTAAATTAATCGGTTTCAAAATCTGGAACACTATAAAAGCAGAGAGATTTCCACTGAGCACAACAACAAACTGGCTTTAATGTAGCTTATTTTTAGCACATACATGTATGCAGTATTGCCCTATCAATGTTCAAATGCCTTTTCGAGATTCAGTTTCCTCTTTCATCATTCTGAAACCAAACCAAGATTTACAGCGGAACGCCAACATGTACTTTAAAAACACATGAACCATGAGTCATTGGAAAATAGAAATCAAGACAATCCGTTGACGGAGATTAAAAAACCCACATGTTTACCAATGTAAATGGTACATGCATGTCATTTTTCGTTTAAAGGTTTTTTTTTATGACTGAGTGTACCCATACATGTATAAGCCCTAATGTATTGTTCATCAAAAACAACACATTTAATTGTAGAAAGAAAAAAAAACATTTTAGTTTGAAGGGAGTAAATGACTGACCAAATACTAATACCAAATGAACTCACAAAAAAATCTTGCCACAACTGGTCAAAGCGATATACACATAGCTGATATTTTCAAAATGAATTCAAACCAGACAAGTTAAATCATTATACATGTAAAAAAGGTTAAAAGATGGAGTACTGAAAGGATTGTTATAATTTAGAGATACATAACATGTACATGTACATGTCTATAGATACACGTACATGTATACCATCAAACAGCATTATCACTATCGACAGCTTAATACACATGTACCATAGGTCTATCAACAACACCGGAAAATATAAGCACCATTATCTACAGAAAAGGTTAAATATTAACAATGTTTTCATAATTAACACCGCTTTCAGTTAACACTATCAGCATTTTTACTGATGTTCAATGAATCGATTCTGTATATGTCGTAGGCCTATTATAAGCAAGTCAAAACTGAGCTATAACTAAATGTGTTCAGTAATAACATTAAAATGACTGAATGGTTCAATATTTTTCCTTCTGTTTCCAGTATGTACAGGTAGATTAAAATGCTTTCCTCGGAGTGGTCACGTTTTAGCCCATCAAGACGAACTATTGTGGTGTTATACAAATAACGCCCGAAAATAGATATGTACATGTATATGAAAATTAATATCTTTTTCCTTTAGGGGTAATTATAAGTCACCCGCTTACATTGTATAAGTAATAATATACGGAAACTTCATTGCTATGATTAATCACCATGGCAACTGCACCTATAATGGGCAGTAACCATGACTACAGTTTGCATTAATAAACAGCACACGCTATGTCAGCACAGGGCGGTTTTCCTGCAATTTCCCTTTATTGCCATTGAAATTCTCTGCATCTTTGTGTCTGCAATTATGGGTGTGGCAGAAACTGGGAATTATTCGTGTGACATAATTTATGTCAGAAAAAAAAAGGCCAATTTTTAAGAGAAAAGACAGTCACAAAATACCTCATTAAATTTTCTGCAATGTACATGTGTACATATGTATACAGTTGTACCCTGATAAGAAGAGCACTGTTTATACAACATCCTGCTTATAACAAGGAAAATGTTAGGCCCTAAGTCTTTGTTTTTCTTCTTTATTCTGTGTTTTCCATTACTGATAATAAAACTATAACAAGGTAATTTGTTAAGTCCCAAGGACCTTGTTATGTGGTGTTCTACTTTACATTAAATAAGGAAGAAGACACCAGACAGTCATGACAGTAAAAACACTTATCTTTAACTTGTGTGTGTAAATTTATTGAACAGCAATAACAAGTTATAACATTCTTAACTGTTTTAAAACATAAATTTTTAAACATGAAAAATGCCCTTTACCTGCAACAGCACTGGTAAGAAATAACACAATGTTTATCGAGTGTAATCCGTTCTTGATTTATAAATTACACAACTCTGAACTGGCCGTAATAACATCTCTTTCAACAACATCAAATGCAATAACTTTTTGAAAAATTTGGCCCTCACGCCTTCTAACTAGAATTTGAACTTGAACAAGCAAAACTGATCATACTTCACTTATTATGTTGCACAACAGAGAGAAATACTGTTTGAGACTCTTACAAACAACCCTGTCTCAACATATAAAAAAAGTGAATTTTCAACTACAATAAACCTGAGATTAAAAATTGAAGAAAGTACTTTCTCCATGTGCATTGCATTTTTGCATTTACAGACTGATTGCAATGTGGTTAAAACCAAACAAAACAATTAAGAACGCCCTGTTGATTATACGATTAAACCTTAAAATAAGAAGAACTTGTTTCATCAGCTGCAAAAATCAGAATGTTTTTCCTTCTTTAGTTTGGAATTAAATACTACATGTACATTAGCTGATGTAAAGCATCATAATATATAGAACCATCTCAGAAAATTAATATCAAGAGTCTTTTTTATATACCGGTATGTTTTAGAAAGTTTGAAAGTCCCCATCACCCCCATCTGTTGTACGTATTTTACACTGCACTCCAAATGAGCCATCAACTTTATTTTCTCAGTCACTACCGCTATGTTAACCAATGCTGTACTCAAAAATAATTAATTCCATGTACATGTACACAAAACAAATAATGCACATTTGTATTCATTTTCAGCATTTCTCAACCTACCGGTACCCGTATATCACTTGCACATAGTGTTAATATTTTTTTCGGGGAACTAAACTATCTCATGCATTATGGATTACATGCATTTGTACATCAGCATTGTGGCTGGAGATGACATACATCATTAATTGGGTCAAGTCTGGTCACCTACAAATGGCTACAAGGTCAAACATGAGGACAATAACAAAGCCCCAAACATGGAACAAAACTGGCACAATAAATGGCTGCAGTTGCATGTAGAAATAGGCATGACTGGTAAAGAGCTAGGAACCTCATCAAATGGTCAGGTCACTTTAGACATATACCGCGGGTCAACAAATAACAAAGCATATTAAATATTCACAAACTGAAATTCAGCAATGTAGTATACATACATGTACATGTACTGGTAGTTAGCATACAGGTATAATGTACATGTACTGTACATGTACACACATGTGTGCACAAGCTACGTACTGTACATGTACCAGAGTATAGGCCCTATCACTGTATCACAGGGTCCTGTGGTCAGTGAACAGTAACCTCATGACCTGAAAGGCAAGCAGACAGCAGAGTGCAATGACCTGACTGACCCCACACAAATAAACACAGTGGGAACCTTGTGGTTAACCATGGAGCTATCCAAAAAAGCTAACTGTCAACAGTTAACCAGTAATCTCCAACAGTTATTCATTAATCCTCTGAGGACTATTTACAGGATGACTGTATAAGAGAATTCCCACATCTAAATGGAGGGACTGGGCAATAATTAATGCCCTGAATTCATCCAGCTACAGGGTGCAAATCTATATGAACTGTTTACAGCACAACACAGTGTCACACAATACAACTGCAGTGACCTTTTTTTACTGTCTAGGAAATGGGTGTAACATATTATCAACCTATACATGTACAAAAATGTACATGAGTGTACACTGAATTCTTCCCACTTCAGTCATAGAATGCAGTATGTTTATTAATTCAAGAATTTACAGACCTGCTACTATATGTATTCTGTATTCTTTTCAAATGGGATTGTGTGTTATTTTTTATGTGATTAGAAAACCTGGTATTAAACATTTATAGGACCATGACTTCACTGAATTCATTAACATTCTGTCCAACTCCAAACCTTTCACGGTTTTTGGGTGTGTTTTGTGGCAATTGTGGACCGGTAGGACAAAAGGGTTAGGGCACAAAACATACGCCCACAATTGATCGATAGTCCACGACTGAAATTCGTGTACAGAACCAATGACATGAATGAGAGCTGTTGCTAAAAAGTTAACAAAGGAATGAGGATAAGGGACAATAGCGTGTCTATGTGGGGGTGTTTGTTTGTTTGTTTTTTGGGTTTTTTTTACGAAAACAAGACTGTGAACCCCTGCAACTACTCAATATACATTCATGTAGTTTACTTTCAAAGTAATATGCGAGTACCATACACTGTATAAATAGCAGCATAGATAGCACACTATTTGATTTGGGTGGACTCTTGTTATTCAGGAAGCATGGAGTTACATTTAATCTTTCTGACATCCGTCTTGATTTCCCGTTCCCAATAATTGTTTGAACACATTGTTTTATAACAGCCTGATGATCTCCTTTTGTTCACTGCAATGAAGATGCAAAAGTCTCTTTTAAAAAAGTGTGTTTCATTCAGACTCTCCGACTAATTCGTATATTTCCATGACAATTTGAAATACGATTTACTTTTTTCTACTCAGATTGAGCTTTCTTTGTGCACAATTTGGTTTTTTTTAATATGAAGCAACCAATGTATGAGTTAGGTAACTAACAATGAATCCTTTTTAATCCTTTTTAATTATGCTAAGCATATAAACTTCAATAAAACATGACTGACCAAAAAAAAAAACCAAAACAAACAACAAAAATAACAATTGTACACTCTTCACGTGTGTGCATGGGTGAATGCATAATTGCACACTATGCCTACAGGTAATCTCATTACATGTATCAGGGATCATCTCAAAATATGTAGTATTTCTTTCTCAATGCTTTCAAAATTTAATGGGAACACTTTTTAGAACACACAATTAACATGACCCTGCTCAATGGAAAACGTTATATTTACAGGGTGTATCCAAATGGTAATTGGAATATGGTTTCCCTGTTAAACATGGTAAACATCAAACCAAAAGTAACAATGAGAATACCGGTATCATCTGAGATCCCAGGCCGCTCCCATTAGAAACAGTAGGCCTATGTCATGATCTTAATTCACGTACTCTCTTAATTCAACAATATAAAGCAGCAAAACTTATTTGTTGGATTTTTAGTTGAACAGCAAGCAAAAGTGTATTGCTGAAACTGTGGGATCCTAGCTTTAAACTTTAAAGCTACTCTATGCACATTGCAGTCTATACATTTGTATGAAATGGATTCAGCTATAAATTTGTCTCTTGCAAAATACTACGTTGGAGCAAAGAGCAGGGAATATGGTTGGAGAGACGTGTTAAATGTAAGAAGAAGATCAGAATTACTTGTCAAGTGTTCAAAGCCTTCTGAAATTCAGACAAATTACAATGTGTGTTACCAACTTCTAAGGGGCATCTTGGGGTGCACCATTTTCTCAAGGGGGCCCCTGAAGGCAACCAATATTGTTATGTGCAATTCAAGAATTTAAATAGAGGGAGGGGGAGCAATTTCGATGGGAATGCACCCCCCCCCCCCCCCAACCCCTAGTTACACGCCACTGTACACATGTACATGTACATGTATGTTACCAAAGAGAAACACTCAGTTGTCCCTGCACTTGAAATAACCACATGCATGGTCCTTTGACAAAGGGCACAAATCAAGTATGTACACCCACAGGGCTGCTTCTGGTGTACTTTTTGAGATACAGTTTACTGCATTCAATCACCATTATTACATTTGACAATGGAGTTACTGAAGGAAAGTCTTGCTAGCCAGGAAACCTTGTGGCAAGATCACCAAGGTCATGGAACACAAAAAACTGGGGATTTGCATAAAGAGGCAGACACCAGGAAATGCAACCAAAGTCCATATTTGTTGATGATTTGTCATACAAGCTATAGATACAAGCACACACCATTGAACCATATGCTTCAACTTACCCCACATGTACTAGTACATGTAGCCTAAAATCTAAACCTGAATACAATCTTGGAACTACTTTATCAAGTCATAATTGCCTTTGTATATAGATTAATGTGGTAGCAGTGAATCCATGTTTCATTTCAAGTGTAAAGACAACAGAGCATTAAATTTACAGTACATACTCATGACTCATAGGCCTACCATCAATGCAAAGTGTATGTGTCACATACAGCTACAGCCACTCCTAATCAATTCCGAATGCATGATGTATCAAATGCTTTCCCATTTGCAGGAACATTTGTACATACACATGTACATGTACATGTATATGTACATGTACATGTGTACATGTGTACATTGTACATTGTACATGTACCAGCACGTCATTCAATGAAAGGGTATATGTCTGGGAAGAGCTGAACTCGTGAATGTAGATGTACATGAACACAGCATCACAGACACAACTTGTGTCAATGTGATACAATCAACATGAACTGAGGTTAGTGTAGAATTAGAAACAAATATATTTTCGGCCATAATCATACAAATGTATGTGCACATGTCTGAAAGGGGAGGGGCCGGGGGTGGGGGGGGGTGGCTTAAACGTACACATGATTGGATTTTCAACTTAATTCACTTAGGGAGGTTTTTAGTTTTTAATTTAAATGAGGGTCTTTCTAGCATGCGCAATTTGAAGTACATGCATGTTGTCCACATACAGTTGTCTAAAATGAGAGAGGGGCCTGCATGGCGTGAGCTTACAATGAACATTGTTGGATATTGAATTATTCTGCAAATTTCGACATTGAATTATTGATCTCCATCATGTTCATGTGTCTAATATAATTAATATGCTCATATTTGTCTGAAGCCTTTTATACTAAATATAGAGCAAAACTTCGGCAAAGAGTCTCCAAATCCTCAAGACGGCATCCAGTGGCTGATGCAATGCTTCAGTCACTATAAGACAACTGGAATGTTCATCTGCTAGGTCTGTGCGTACCGGTAGATTGGTAAAAAATTAAAAATAAAAAACCTACTTAAACTACTTTGTACCAGTGACTGTTATTCCTCACGATTTTATGGATGGTAATTCTTATCAGTGTGACAACTCGCTCATGCAGGTTCATTTATCCACACTGACAGGGGGACACTTAAATCCCATGGTTGAACATATAAACTGCAGCTAAAGCAAGACAGGCAAGAATCACATCCAGTCTGTACAGGATACTGCCAGCTCCACCTGAAAAAGATAAAAGATGGAGGTGTAAATGTGGTTTGAGGAAAAAAAGGAAAACACTTATTTTCACAAGGCTGGAATTAGCAAAACTTTCAGTGAAATGCGTAAAAAAAGAGCGAAATACCGTAGCACTTGAAGTTCAAATTTAATATTGTGTTAACATTTACAAGTGTTCCTACCGGTATTTTGTTGAGATTCAAAAGGTTAACCAACTCATTTAGATTCTCAACAAAGTACCAGTACATGTAGGAACAATTGTAAATCTTGTTGACTGAATCCGGATGCATAATTCATGTGACCTAAAACAGATAATGTAAAAAAAACATCAACCACCATCAACCTTTCTAAGCAGCAACAGTATTTTATGATTACAAAATATACATTTAGGCAGAACAAATTTAAATAGGGCAGAAAGCGTGGAGGAATAAAATGGCCTGAACATGCAATGAATGTAAAGTAAGGGGGGGGGGGGGGGGGGCAGAGTGGCACCGCAACCTTGATAATGGCAATGATCCGATTTGCTTATAAATTAAAGTAACATGCAAACTCAAATACATGTACAGCTGAGAGCCAGGTACCGTATGTACTTGAAGCAATAAGCATTGTATGACATTTTGGCCAACTTGTCGTGTACCTTTTTTTGTTAACAAATATGTACAAATACATGTAAGGCAACCAAATACATGTTAGCATCCCTTTACATTGTAGACCATTTGGAGGGAGAAAGGCTTGAAAAAACAACACCTGTATGCACTTTCCCTATACAAGTTTAGTGCAGTTTTTCTTCTATGATTGTTTCTAGCAATAATTTGGGGTAAGGCCAAAACAAAAACAAAACAAAAATTTTTCGGTCTCTGGTCAGACCAAAGTTCCAGAATTGATACGGCGACGAGGTTTTTTTTTGGGGGGGGGCCTTTTTTTTTCAGGCTTGGATTGTACAGACAAGGTGGGTACTACCGGTATTTTGCTTTTGTTGTGTCCTCATATACATTGTACATTGGGGCCCTCCATAATTTGCCTTGGTGCCCTCCATCACTTGCCTTGGTGCAATTTCCACATTCCTCGGTACACAAATTTGAGGAGGTGCGGCAATAAAGGGCACTGCTGTAGCTACCGCGGACAATTTGAAGACAAAAAAGGTTGATGCGCATGATTAAAATTGACGCGCGCGCTGACCACAGACAGACTTTTTTTTTTTTTTGGCCTAGTTAATAAACTAAAAGTACCGGTATTGTAGAAATTGAGGACTAATCCTGTAGGCTTTCCCTTGTACATTTCTTGTACTCACACGTATGTGGGGCTACATTTTGTATACAATGAATGTACCAGGTAGGACCAAAAGTGTAGCTGCTATAATACTGTAAACAGATAGCAAATATGTAAAAACTTGCTGTCAATGTGAAGTTATATAGTTCTTCCTTGACTACTTCAAAGCATTAGAGTGGCTATCAACACAGATACTGGTATACATGTATGACAAAGCATGCAAAATGCAGGGAGATCGATCAGATGACATCTAGACAGTGTTAATGTCGACAACCTCTCCTTCTCATTTCTTACCAGCGGGTAACTTTTCCAGGCCAAAAACCCATACTAGCACTAGAATGTCGATGTACATGGATGCATGCATGATGTCCATGAAAACAGTCCTCACACACCATGCGGTCTCAGCCAGGCTGACCCAGCCTACGTGTATACGTAACAGGTTGAACTTCTCAATTGTGTAAAGTACAATGAGACTGGAGTCCATCATACATGTGAACTTCCACTGTCATAGTAAACATTTTTTACAATTTTTTTTCATATTTTACCAGATGAAGGAATCTGAAATTTCGTTCAAATGTTCCTTGTGTCCAGAAATGTGTAGATGCTTGGTTTAGGAAGTTATTGTGTCCATGGGCAACGTGGTTATAGAAAACAAATCAGAGATCCACGCTTTTGTCTTACAATGTATTAACATCCTGTACAAACTTTTCATGTGAAGACTTGCGCACGTATGCACACACTTGCTATTCGTGCTTGCGTGGATGTTTACGACAAAGGCATGAATCTTCAATTTTCTTCCTGTAAACGTGTCGCCCACCAACATATTTACTTGTTCTAAACCAAGCATCCTTGTAATTCCAGACACAATACAAACAAAATTTTAGCTTTCTAAATCAGGTAAAAATATGTAAAAAAAAAAACCGATGTTCTAAAAATGTTCCCTATTGTAGCAAAATTGCAATACCCTGGTTGTCAGTTGTTTTATGCAATAAAAAAAATAAAAACATCATTAATCCGGCTTATCCAGGTACACCAGAAAAGCAGCGTTCCCGTTCATGTAATTGTACATGTATCATTAGCAAGCACAAAAAAATGTGTAGTGCTTTGCACAGTATGTAGGGGCCAACTTTGATGATGGCAAAAACTGTGAGAGCAATTATTTGTACATAGTTTGCAAGCAAGAATTCAAGCAAAATACATGCACTGTTTTGTACATTTAAAGGCAAACTTGACAGAGAATATGAGCTGATTATAAAGCATAGAGAATGGCAATGGTAGAATACTGACAGTTGAATGAATTGAATACAACATACCTTTATTGATGTGTTGCAATTAAGATTGCTGTAGCACACAGGCTCAACACATGTGCTGACGATACAGCTACATGTGCTAGTCACTTGATCGATGCAAGGTGCTTATTGTTATTTCATTTGAAGAATACATTAAATGTACGTACCCTACCAATTGTACATTGTATACTATTGTACATGTACCACTACTTTATGCATGCATGTACATAAAATTGACATTATTTCAATGTAACATGTATCAATACAATTCAGATGATCAACAGAGCTCAGTTTCAGTGTCCTGAAGACAAAAAAATCAGCTTAAAAACGTACCCGAGCTGGGGGAGGGGTGAAAATGGCAAACACCAAACAGTCTGCTGACTACCAAATGACAAACTTCCTTGAGATCCCAAAGAATTGGAGACAAAAACAATTTACATGTACAGGTGCAGTAGGGCAAGGGTGGATCCAGGGGGAGGGGGAAACAAGAGCCATATGCCCCCCCCCCCCTCCCCCCCCCCAACAAAAATAAACACAAACATTGTTTTTTTAAGTGATGTTGCAATATATGTACCGTACACTACATGTACACCACCATCGTCTCCTTTCCTAAAAAGAAATGGTTAAAGTGGTCACCTACAGGAATTGCCTCAGATTGCACCATAGAGCATCAAGAATAAAAAAAAAGTGGGGCCTCACATTTATTTATACACAAGCTGGTTTACCCGATCATAGATCGGGTAGGGCGTAGTGTTGGGGATGAAAATGTGGGGAGTTAAATGTAAATGGGGGATATAGTTGGTGAGACATGCAGTTAAAGAATATCAATTTCTGTGGTGTGATCTGAGGCAATTTCTGATCACTAAAACCAATTTGAGCAAAAGATCATCTGTGAAAGTTGTGAGTTTTGAGTAATTGAATCAGCTACATGTATTCTGAGCAATAGAATCATTATTGTAGGCTACAATATTTTTTATTCGGGGAAGAAAAAGTGTGTGTGGGGGGGGGGGGAGACCAAACAATGTCCCCCCTCAAAATGTGTGTGTGTGTGTGGGGGGGGGGGGGTCCCCTGTCCCCCGTCGATTTACGCACATGATAATTATGTACCATGGCAACTGTCTGTAAATGTTGCCGTTGGTCTGTTAAATTGGCTTTTTGTGAGGCAGTCGCATTTGGAAAAGGAAGATCATCTTTTAAACATCATTTTCGAGTTTGGTGTCATTGAATCAGCTATTCTGAGTAATGGAATCATTATACATGTAGTAGCTACAATTTTTATTCGGGGGAGAAAAGTGGGGGGGGGGACCAAAAAAGTCTCCACCGCTTTAAAATGGGGGGGGGGGGGTGGAGGGGTTCCCCGTCCCCCACCGATTGACGCCCATGATAATTATGTACCATGGCAACAGTCTGTAAATGTTCCCTTTGGTCTGTTAAATTGGCATTTTGTGAGGCAGTGGCATTTGTGAGAAAACGTACTTGAAAGGCTTGCCGTAGTACACAGGCGAAGGCTGATTAAGAAGGTCATAATTAAGTTTCAGTATATTGGACTCTTCAACAAACGTAAACTTGAACGTCTTACAATTTGCGAGACTGTCTGCGAGGAACTTGTCGAGTCAACTGTTATTCAACTTGGGTCAACCATCTATATAAGAGCAAATTTTACTCGGCCTCCGAGAAATGTTTGCTCCTGAAACGATCTGAGACCGCGGTCTTTCGCGACGCCGAAATCGCTCCACGTCCGTGGAAAAATGTGGAGGGTGTCTTCCGCCGGATCGGACACATTTTCGTTGATTTTTTGTGTGACTGCGTTTAAGATCGCGATGTTTGAAGCAATGCATCGATCCTTCGTTGATCCCAGACAGGCCCCCGAAATTATAACGCAACACTGTGGCGGGCAGCGAACTCACAACGCTCAGCCTTGATGGAAGCATGGAGCTGTATTAACACACGATGGAAGCAACAGAGCACTATACACGTCACTCACATGCTTGTGCTTCAAATCATGCAAATAGCGAGCACCGTAGACCCAACCTCGTTTCCAGGGTGTGGAGCAGGCTGCAATACGCGTTGCCATCGACAGTTTTGCATAGCCCGGATATACTACGCAGTGTAGACTTTCGATTGGTCAGACCGCGCAAGGCATACTTAATGTGTAGTACTTCTGAGTATTCGTTGCACTCGGCGCAGGGGCGGCAAGCGAAGCATATGAAAGAATAGGGGCACTCGGTGGCCACGCACCATGGAGAAAAAATATTTTACCAAGGTCACCCCATATCACAATTTGGTGAACGCTTTGGCAGTACGGCTGAGTAGAACACGTAAACGAAACCCCTACGTTGACCTCGCTGACCTCGCACAGTCTAGACTCGCAGAAAAGCCAGCACAGGGGGCGGCCAGGCAGTCAACGTGAAAGCGCACACGACGGAAAATTCCTGTGCAAAATGCTGTCACGAAAAATAGACGAAAAGGATCGCCGGTCCGTACGTGAAAATCGGGACGACCCGAAGTGTCCGACCCGAAGTGTCCGACCCGGCGGAAGACACCCTCCGTATTTTTCCACGGACGTGGAGCGATTTTGGCGCCGCGGGAGCCCGCGGTCTCGGATCCTTTCATGAGCAAACATCGTCTCGGAGGCCGAGTTAAACTCTCTCTTATATATATATAGATGTAAGCAGGCCCGGAACCCAATGCCATATTGTTTTGGATCCACTGTGGACCCACTGTTCTGGATCTGCCCTTGATTTATGTCGGGTCATAAATACACACAATTAGGCCTAATGGTATCCATAATTATGTAGTTAATTCACAAAAGAGTACTCCTGTCTACACATGACTCCTCTGTTGATTTTGTCCTGTTCGTAAAAACTAAACCTATTTCAGAACAAGTATCTCCTGTGAATACTTCTGTACAGGTGCAGTTAGGCATGCCATTCTCATTACTCTGTTTTCACAAGGGTTCTTTTGACAAAGATCTGGCAAATGCAAGTAGTGTAGATTTTACGCTAGTACATAAAAATATACGTAAGATTAATTAAGCCTGACTCTCCTAGGTTATTATCTGTAACTACCGGTATGCCTGATTCTTACAAAGAGTGGGCATTGGGTTTGAGTAAAATGGTTGAGTTTGGAGGATATCAGAAGGTTCCTATTAAAAATACACAGGGCGTCCAGTGTGGCAGGGCCAAGATTTAGTTGTTAAGTTTAGTACAGGATATTGAGGTACAAAACAGAATCTAACAAGAATATGACAAGGTGGTTTTTTTTTTTGGTGTACAGTCAGTCAGTTGCCGTGTCACGCGTAGCTGCTTTATTTTTTCGTCCAAGTGACAGCAACGCGAGGCCAGCGAACAATGGCCGTAAAAAGGGCTTCAGAAAATTCGCAATTTTCATGGCAAACCACAACCGATCCAAACAATAAAAAGTTGTTTTAGGTAGTTAAAGACCTTCTTCATACATCCATCAAGGTATTTTTTTCTCAAAAAAAAGGATTTGGATGCATTTGGATGATATTATTTCACGGACAAATTGACTAAAATTAAGGTCATGAAATTCCTGTTTTTTCCGACAACGACGAAAGTCTCCCAAATGTTGAGGTAATCAAAGGAAAGAGTGAACCTTCATCTACAATAAATCTTGTGAACGTGATGTCGTTAATATTTAAAGAATTCGATGTACACCCAATGTTTTCAACAACTTCCATTTTTGACGCGCAAAAGATCGTCGCCATTGTAAAGCATAGAGCGAGGAACCCAAACACGGTGTGACCTTGTGACCCATACGCCCATTGATTGGTCGAGCTCCAGTATGGCCTGCTTAATATTCACAAGTCATTCATTGCACGTTAGCACGTGCTATTTACAATGTTTTCAGGCCAACGTACGTCGGCATACTTACATTCGTTTACACGCGTACATGTGATTGCAGGTCATGAAATCTCGCAAAAGTCTTCATTTTTCAACCGGCGATTTGGACCAAACGTTAGAAGTCTCCTGCACGTGTTTCACATGAAAATGAAGCGTATACCTTCCTCTGTCTACTGAGCCTTGCCGTTCCTTTCGGCCTTTTTTTTAAGAATCAAATGTACACCTAAAAACTATCAGCCCTCGATTTTGTTGATAAAAAAATATGATTTTGTTTGACAAGCTGTAACAACACTTTTTATTTGTCAAAAGCAGTTATTTTTGGTATCAAAACAAAGCACACGAGTTCAAGTTTTCACTTATATAGCCATCTTGGATAAACAGTACATGTATCGAGGCACTTTTTGTATTTTTCTGTACATGTAGTCTCTAATAAATCTCGTAAAATCTCGCGTACGTTTTTGGGCCAGCGTGCTTGACCTCGGAACAAGAAACTGAGGTCAAACAGGGCTGTGTGGGTGACAAGGCCACTGACTGCAGTGTTCAAGGAAAACTCCCCAGTTCAGGTCAGGTCAGTGCAAGGTTAAGATTGAAGATATATAGTTTTGTGACAGCTTGAACTCAGAGGGTAAGGGCAATTAAGATTTATAGTTCTGTGTCAACATTGAACTCATGACCTTCCTACTGGTCACGTTCAGGGTGCAGAGTATAGTTTCATTGTATACAGTGTATTTAGTAGCTCCCCTCGGGAAAAAGAAATAATTTTAAGTGTCAGTTTAGATGCCCCCCCCCCCCCCTTCCCCTATATAATCTGCCACATAGTCAAGCCTCATTTAGTACAGCCAATAGACCAGCAGAGACAAGTTCACATTAACTACATGTTCCTCCAACCTGGAGTGTTTTCCTGCTTGGGTTAGTCTGCTTGTCAAGTCATGGATTTTCGTCAAAGTGTACTCTAAGATCCATTGATTCACACTGTGTTGGTTTTAGGTTTCAGGTTTTAGTCTTTGCTTTTAGCAATGTTTAGTTACATGTATTTTTAAAGATTCAGTCTTTTAAGTTGGTTATTGGTCTTTGATTTACAAAATAATTTTTTTTTTCCCTTTTTGGGGAAAGATAATCTGTCATTTTAGGCTGAAATTGATCTGTTTATTTCTTGCATTCACTGCAGTTATTGATTTTCTTTGCTTTTTAGCGACATATCAAAACAAAACTGACTGTGATGTGGGATATGGCCTTTTTAAACCTCCTCCTCAAGGTGCACCCTAGGTTTTGCTTCAGCTGCTACACGTACCCAGTATGTGCCCCTCCAATTTTACAAACATCACACATAACCATAGTCAACAATTGTCAAATATTACAATGAATATGATTCTAAGATTTTACTGTACTTACATTGTATCAAGTTCAGTGTAACGCAGATCGAGGCCTCCGTTTCACTGCTTCCATCCTGCCTGTTGGTTGTCGCACAACAGAGCCCCAAGGGTTTAGTAACATCATCTGGGATGTCCAGTATTACTGTACTGGTGCTATCTGTTAACTTGTCATTAGTTCCATTGGGACTTTGTGTAGGTGGACCTGTAGATGGTACCGGAGAGCCATCCAGTGTCCATACGAAGACTGTCGCTCCTGGCTTAATTCCTGGTGCTGTGCAATTGAAGGGTACGTCTTTTGTGCCACCCAGAATGTCGATATTCCCCTCGTTACCAGTATAGGTGCTACCATTGTAACTCATATACATGGTGGTGTTGTCAACAGGAACTGTGGAAACATGCAATTCACTGAAAGGGTGAATTTCAACAGAAAAGCAATCTACCCATTTGATCATCTAAAATTTCACACAAGAGTGGACATGGGCAATTCCACACTAATGGGCCAATTAGATAAGTTTATGGATGTTGCATATAGAGGGTAAAAGATGAGCTAGTATTTTCTTCTGTTTTTACCCTATACCTTGCTAAGTTGAAAGTGACTAGGATAAGACAAGACAAAACATGTTATCTTGTTATGGGAGAAAATAATAGGCATCTTTTCTGCATGATTTGTATACTGGTAACATGGACAAACACACTGCAAGGAAAAGGGTGCTTAGGACAAATTCAATTTCTAATAGGCGCTTCCAGTGACATTATTAAGCCATTTTACACTGTTATCAAACCAAAATATAACAGTTTTCACACTGGCTTCAAAGTTATGATGTGATTAGGGTTATGTACGAACAGGGACAGACATTTTGTAACAAATGTACTGTCCAGTCTGTTCGTATAAATCCTGATTATATAATATCAAACAATTCTTCACATTGACTCTGAGTTTTCCAGGTTTTGACTGATAGCATTCCTCCAGGGTACATCTTCTTAAATAAGTCAACATTAGGGGATCATGAAATTTTATGCTTACTTTGTAAGACTTTATCTAAAATGTCTGTCCTTTGATACGTGTGTAACACTTTTTAAAACAATATTCACTATATTTTTCTAAAAAACAAAACCAGTTATATCCTTTGCAGGTGAGGATATTTGTTCAAAGCTTGCAATGTTTACAGCAAAAATTGAGAGACTAAGATCGTGCTTTTATCATCAAAACTTAAAGGTCTTCTCAAATGTCACACTTTTGGGCCCATTAGTGTGGAATTGCCCACATGTCTGCTATGGCTGATAAGCGAACAATTTACTCAATTTTCAAGATTGCAAGTGTCACTACCTACAATGTGATATCAAAGGGAACAATAAGACCTTTCATACATTTAAGACATGATCAAGTGATGTGCCAGTCAGATGGAATATGGTACACCTATTCCCCATTTTCTTTTTTCTTTTTTTCTGACAAATGGAAAGATCTGAATTCACAAGGCATACCGGTTAACTCAATGGAAAGTCATACCGGTACATGAACTTGTAACTGAGAAGACGCATGTGATTACATTTTTACCTGGTAATGGTCTCCCACATAGTCAGTGGGGAAAATCAGAACAATCTGGTTAAAAAGACTGTCATGTTGCATTGTGTTGTTTGTACAGCATGGAAGAAGCAAAATCCAATACACGTACCAGTACGTTAGTCAGTTGGCTCCGCCCCTTAATATGTAAAAACCTTGCATTAAGAGTGAATTTGTGGTTCGAGGTTTTTCATGGGAGTGCTTTAGCGGAACTTTTGCACTTCAGAAGCATGCAGTTGGCCTACTACAAAAGGATATCGAATTCCACGATATTCCAATTTTATTTTTAGAGATCGATATGATTTCCGATATGAAAATAAAATCGGAATATCATGAAATATCATTGTATCGAACACATCTGCAACTATATTTACGCTGTTCAAGATCTGTAGATCGATTTCTTTTTTGTTTTGGTGGGGGGAGGGGGGTTCGCAACCTGAAACACACTTTTTGTGTTTAATGTTGAAGTACGAAGTCTGTTGCCTCATCATAAAGATAGAATGTAAAGGAATAAACGTTTAACAAAACAAACACACACTTCTCACCTCGAACCCGCATCTGCGTGTTTTTATCAACATCTCCCGTGCCTTGTATGTTAAGACGACACCAGTAAGTGCTTTCATCATCAAGCGTGACTGACTGGACTGTCATGGGGTTACCAGGATCAGTGCTATCAAAGGCATAGTGAGACGGGTCTCTGTTGACTGGAGCTGAACCAACGATATATTGTATGATTGTATCAGCATTGTTAATGTCTGAAGTTTCTTCCAAGCTGCTATTTCTCCATTCTACCCCACGCAACGTACCACCTCCAATTGGGGTGCATGTAAAAATTGCATTTCCATCCTTATCCACCCAGCTTGGACCGTCAAGTGTTGATGACTGTGCTTCAACATCTGGAATTGAAATTTAGTATGCAGAATTGTAAAAACATGCAATTCCACACAAATGCGACATGAGAGTCAAAATTTCAAAATGATTCTTTCCCAAAATTGATAGTACATGTACATGTAGGGCATATTCTGAAAAGTCTAGAAATAAATAAACCACTCTGTCCGTAACGGAATTACGGACAGAGGACAAGCATATTTGAGTTCTTGCATAAATTAATAAAACTCTCTGAAGTTTTGAAATTTTAAAATTGGACACTACCTGTCATTTGTAGAGTTCAGAGTTGTTGTTAACTACAATGCAGAACAAAGTTGAAAAAATAATCACTGTTTTCATAATTTGCATTTTTATCACGGTAACGGAATTACGCCTGGGCGGTAACGGAATTACGCCATAGGTTAACATGTAATAGGTAAATGCAATACATTAACATTGAATTCAACATAAGCTCATCAGTGCCGGTCTTAAACGGATGATAAAGACATGGCTAGCTGGTCTTAAACACTTTTCCAGTGTCACAATAAAATGTGGACTTCTAAAAATCCAGTGCCTCTTACCGTTTCATTGGTTGAACGTTCGCAATCCTCACGTAAGCATGCGCAACACTGCAGTGAGTCAGAATTTTATAGTTCAAAATTCCAAACGCAACGCCCCAGGTGCGTTCTGCGCCATATCGCGCAGAACATGCCACGCGCGCGTCAATTGCGATAAAAGGGTTGTTTTCATCTTACTCGCCAGCTGAACACTCCATTATTTTGCCAGAGGGATGTTTCAAAAAGCATGAAGTGAACTTGTTGAACAAAATCTGGATTTTTTGAACGAATTCTTTGATATTTTTTAACCGAAAAGGTATTTATGAATGGGAATATATGTGCTCGGTCGGTATTTATCACTCCGTTTAAGACCGCTTATTTATTTATCACTCCGTTTAAGACCGCTTAGAGACCGCTTAGAGACCGCTTAGAGACCGCTTAGACCGCTTAGAGTATGGGTGCTGATAATTACCCTCGCCTCCGGCTCGGGTAATTATCAGCACCAGGGTTCTCCCCACGTACAAACGTGCGTATCGGCCCGATACGCTGGAATTGTGGCCCGATACGCCGACAAAAATGCCGATCACATTTTTCAGCCCCCGATACGCACAATATAATTTATTACACAAGCCATTAAAATGCACAACATTATCGTTTCATACGCCATAATTTCATCTTGACATTCAAAATCTTGACAAAAATCCCGTATTTCTGATGCTGCATGTGTGATCAAAATGCACACGATGACGGTTCTTTCGCGACGACCGCCAGCACCCAGCTATATATTAGCGCATTCAGCATGGTACATACTCCCAGAACTATGAGGCTCCACGTAGTGGAGCCTCATAGGTTCAGAACCCCGCAAAATTGTTGTCGGCACAAAACACTAATTAAGTACAAAAACGTCCATCCCAACCAAGCCGTTTCCCACAGTACCGCTGCACAGTTTGCACCTAAACTCCGTACAATACCTCATGACATTCTCACGTTATGTGCACCCAACAAACATCGGTGGATTCTGTCGGTTTTTCGGCAAAATGATGGAAAATATGCCTTTTCCGCACTGAGCCAACCTGACACTTGAAATTTGCACGCGCGCAAAATGATCGCAGTCATATTCGGGTTCGGTAGCTAGCTAGCTCGGAGCGCGCCGCGGGGGGTACGTACTCGCACTTGTACGCATGCGCATACTATCGTTCCGCTCCTACACCATACCCCCCGCGGCGCGCTCCGAGCGATCGGACCGAAAATGACTGCGATCATTCTGCGCGCGTGCAAATTTCAAGTGTCAGGTTGGCTCAGTGCGGAAAGGGCATACATGTATTTTCCATCATTTTTGCAAAAAAAACGACAGAATCCACCGATGTTTTTTGGGTGCACATAGCGTGAGTATGTCATGAGGTATTGTACGGAGTTTAGGGGCAAACTGTGCAGCGGTTCTGTGGGAAACGGCTTGGTTGGGATGGACGTTTTTGTACTGAATTAGTGTTTTGTGCTGACAAGAATTTTGCGGGGTTCTGAACCTATGAGGCTCCACTACGTGGAGCCTCATAGTTCTAGGAGTACATGGTACACTGGTTCCCTTCGCGTGCTAACAGTATCAATGCTATGATGAAGGACCGGAACCAGTGACTACTGCCTTGTACGTGCATACATGATGATTTCGGCCGAAGTTGGATCGTAAAAACACCAAACAAACATCGATGGAGAAAGAGAATTTCTGCAAATTAATTCACAGAACGTGATCTCTAATTTCTGTGTATGTATTTTCCATTAAAATGACGAGATTGCAAAGCTCGAACGTATAGTGAAACATCGTACACGTAGCATGCTTCTTAGAAGCAGTGGTGCAAAATTTTCAGCCACATGGGATGGGCCGTACACAGTTCAGTAATGCACACTGATGCTGCGCCATGTCGGTGAGCACAGCGCGATGTACAGCCGGCCAGACTGAATGTTGACGGCGCCAGGGGCCATGATGTACGTTAAACATATTGTGGAATCAACTACATCAAATATATTTTTAATTAGGTGAGGCAAGTTTTAATCACTTTTGATGGTCAGTCTTGATAATTTTCGTGGTGCAAAGGAAAATAATCCAGGCACAAAACTACATGATTCCTTGTTCAATATGCTCCATTCAATCAAGTGTTTTTAATATTCCTCCATGATTCAATCAGCAGCCCAAAAAATTGGCGAAATAATTTTTCCGACTTACCGACGCTATTTTGAAAGGCATGTAATCGGAAGCAAAAGTGATATTTTTCTTCACCTTAATTTTTTAATTTGAAACTTGCTTGTTAATATAATTCATACTTTCTAGATCAGGAAGTTTTAACACAGGTTTTGAAATGTTGATTTTTTTTTTTAAGTTAAACATTTTGATATATTTTTTTTTTTAATTACAAAAAATATCACATGATCTCCTCTAAATTTTAAGGGAAAATCTTCCTCAAAGACTCCCCAGATTTGCTCTAAAATGCACCAGAGAGCCTCTAAAGTTCAAAATTTTTCGGGGCCCTTAAGCGGGCCCCGAACCCCACGCCATGGCTTCGCAGGTTGGTGAATCACAACAAAACTTCCCCCACAGGTTTGAAAAAATCCTGGGGAGAACCCTGCAGCACCCAGACTCTAAGTGGTCTTAAACAGAGTGATAAAAACCTCTCGAGCACACATTTATTCCCTTAAAAATGACTAGAAATGGTTCTAAGACCCAACTAGACTGGTTTCTGCTCTCATGCTTTAAAAGCAGAGCTTCATCAGAAACATCATGTTCACACGCCTAATAACATGGAAAGCGCTTTGGCTCAACATGATTGAAATAGATTTTTTAATATTGGCAGGTATTGCATAGTATGTATACATACGGTACATGTACGGTACATGTAAGCCTATAAGTTTGTTATATGGGTGAATTACACGCTCATGTTCCACTTCCTTCCACATAAATACCTGTTTCAAATGATCAAGTTTGTAGTTATAATTAACCAGCTGTGTTTGAAAAGTTATTTGTACTTGATGACGTATCCCTCAATATTAAATTAATCACAATAATATTATGACTATACTACAGGAAAACCTGTTGTATAGCCCTTTTTTTTAATAAATGTGGGTGGGCGTTTTTTACCCCGAGGTTCAGGTAAAAATACCCGCCAAACTTCCTCCCGAAGAGGGGGGGGGGGGGAGGATTTCCCCTTATCAATATATTGGCCATGATATTATATTTGCACCTGATAGAGGAGACATGAACATGTACCGGTATTGCATAAAACCACATATTTATTTCCTAGTGTCTCCAAGTACATGTACTACTGAGATATTTAACAAAAACTTAAAAATTGGGCGTTTTTTACCCCAGTTTACCCTACAGTTTACAACATTTAATGCATGTTCCACCCTCTGAACATCTTAAAGTGAATTTGCTCCTTCAAATACCGGTACTGGTTTAGCAATACAGTAACACGTAGTTGACACTTCTCTTGTTGACAGAAAAGGTACTGTTTCAGAGTTAATTTGTTGTTAATTCACAGGTATCATGAATCTAATGCGTCATTGTAATGTCAGTCACGGAGGGTAATTTGCGTATGTTTGTTCTAAACATTTATGAAGCCTACATGTACAGGGGCACATAAGGCAGTTTGAAGACTGTTTTTGGGGTGGAATCTGAGGATTTTGATTGGGGGTACAAGTGAAAATGGTAAAAAAAAAAAATATTGGTAACGCAATGTGATAGTTTATGATTCTAGGAGTACTATCGCCCAACCATGTCTCCAAATTAAAATAAGTACATGTACATGTACTATACATAGAGTCTACTCTGCCTATGGGAAAAAAAGGGGGGACTAATTTTCTATCTCTTTAAAGAGGGTGAGTGTGCTTCGAAAGCATTTAAAAATAAACTACATGTACAAATAAAGTCTTAATGTGAAAATAAAAAATTGACAAAGTTCTCCATTTTCAGGTATACCGGTATGTTCCTAGTGTGGCCTTTATTTACTGAGAAAAATTTCCAATTTTGTTAGGAAATACTTCGAAAATTAGCTTGACTCTCCATTAGTCTGTTAGTCATGTTAGTCCGAGTAATTACTTGGGACCAACTTATTGCCACATTCGGACATGGTCTCGCGACAGTAGGGTCCAAGCAAAAGCGCTGCCATCACATGACACATTCTGCCGTTGACCCAAAAACCCAACATTGCCCAACAAAAACATCAGATTTCACCCTTAAAACGGCCTCCAAATAATTAGATACACCACCTGAGGTACAAGTAGAGATTGATGAATAAGATCGAGGAACTACAGTTCACTTACGATCCGGATGAAAAGTGAAAACTGTTTACTTCCAAGAGCTCCCCTTGCGATCATGAACACGTTAAATTTCCGACTCATGTTTGAACAATGCCATGTGGTCATGCCCAGCGTCCATTTAATGGTTCCCTCATCCCGAGTGAGATTCTGTTAGCGGGCACGATGCATTAGTTATGATGAGTAGACTGGATCTCGTTTTTTTTTATTTGTAAACACAAGTGCATTTCGAACAATGATACATGTAGGGAGTCTGTAACTAGGGCAGCTTTTTATGAGCGGAAACCAGTTCAAGCTACGTAGTTCCCGACTCCCCTATCAGAATCATCATTTGAATTGCACTCGTACGAGATACAGTTTACTCATTATCATTATCGGTGCATCACGCTCGGTAACGGAATCACACTCGGGACAAACGCTGAGCACGACAACAGGGCATTGTACAAACACGAGTCGGAAATTTAACGTGTTCACAATCGCGAGGGGAGCTCTCAAAATTTAACGTGAAATTTCACTTTTCATCCAGATCATAAGCAAACTTAAGTACCTCGATCTCAATCATCGATCTCTACTTGTACAATGTACCTCAGGGGTGTCAGGCCAACTCGACTATTTGCCAACTCGACTTGGACCAACTCGACGTTTACAAACTCCACCGATGTGTGTTCAACTGCATAAGTCAACTCGACCGTTTACCAACTCGACCGTTGCCTAACTTTTATTTTTGAATTGACTGATTTTTATCTCTTAATTAGGCCTACAAAAAAGTTATGGTTGTCTTTTCTGGTTCACCTCACGAGGTCACAGCCGTGTCCTGGCAACATGATCCCGACCAAACAGTGTCAGACCACCCACGCCGCCATGCTTTCCTATCCCGCTTCGCACAACGCGGCAACACGGAACATGTGTAGGGGGCCTACGCAGAATCGCTGTTTCAGCATGCCAGTTATGTACAATTGTCATTGAGTGTTTACCTCATTTATTTTTTGCTAGAGAAAAGGACAATGAATTAACAAGTGCTTAATTATAATTTTGATAAATCTGACAGACTTTTGAATTGCATTTAGCAGAATTTGGCCAGGACCTTACGGTCACCCTGCTAACTCTCCATAGACTTTGTACACAACCACTGACATGTATTATACTGAACATTGCATCGTTTTAAATTTGAGCACTTCCCGTTATGTCCCAGTCAGCACATAGCCTACCTTTCACTCTGGTGATTGCGACCACCATAAACAACAGGCAAACGTCTCGTATCTGATATATTCCCCAACTTCTCATGTTCATGATCATTACTTCATGTACCGGTACTTCCTGAAACGAAAAGCGAGACTCAAATAAGTGCGAGTGCACCCACTAAACTTTGGCCGTCCTAGCCCTACCCTACTTCTGAAATCAGAAAGCTTCCTCCGACTCCGTCTGCCTTCTGAGGGCCTTAAAATATGCATCATAGTTTATGACGTTTGTCAGGCGCGCGGCGCGGCTGGCCATACAAACACGAGGTCATGAACTAAATAATGCATATTCATTATCTTGCCCAAGCGCGCCCGCATAATGCATACATTACAATGCGGCCGCCATTTTGAAATCACATGGAGGACATTTTCGGGACGATATTTGTGGAAGATGATGACTGAAAGTCGTCTTTTGGCCAGATGGACGAAAATATTGATCCAAAGAACGTTTTTTTTCGAAATCCTGGATGAAAAGACAATCTCGATCAAAATCTGTGGCAAAATCGCTACATCAGAGTGAAAAAAAATTCAGTCTGTGGGGAAGCATTGAGCGTCTGGCCGTACTACAGAGCTTGCGATAGTACTGTATGGCCAGACGCAGTCGGGCTTTTTCATCTATCAAATGGCATTTCCAAAAGCCATAGAGTGCTGACCCCCGAATTTTAAGGCTCTCAGAAGGCTGACGGAGAGAAGCCTTCTGATTTCAGAAGTACTATTCTATACTACACTATTTTATTTTTCGGGAATAAATCAACAAATACATGTAAACAAATGACTAAAGTTACAACACAAAAAAAACAAAAGCTTTAGATACATAAACAATCAAACAAAAACAAAATACCATTCAGCTCCCGAAGGATTGCCCAAAAGAAACATTGTTTCTGTCTAGGGGTTCTCCAAACTGACTGGCATACACGTGAAAACAACAAGCAATAAATATAAAAAGAAGTTTTATATACAAAACAAGTCAGGTGTGTTTACAAACACAAATGCCCCGCAACGGTGACAGTTCCCATGACATAGCACCACTCTTTTAACATCAACTTACATGTACCTTGGTCACATGGAACATTCATTGACAGCATTAGTGTAGGTTTTATATGAATTAATCCCTAATCCCTATAATCTCAGAATAAATACATGATTTCTATTGTTTTAGCCACTGTGAACTTGACCCTTGACCTTTTGGCCCCTAATTCAATAGGCTTCTTAGGATTACCAAGAACAATCCACAAACCAAATTTGAAGTTCACATGTAAAGTATTTCTCAAGTTATCGCGCTGACAAGATTTCTATTGTTTTAGCCACTGTGAACTTGACCCTTGACCCTTTGGCCCCAAATGCAATAGGCTTCTTAGGATTGCCAAGAACAATCCACAAACCAAATTTGAAGTTCACATGTAAAGTATTTCTCAAGTTATCGCGCTGACAAGATTTCTTTTGTTTTAGCCACTGTGAACTTGACCTTAGGCCTTTTGGCCCCAAATGCAAAAGGATTGCCAAAAACAATCCACAAACCAAATTTGAAGTTCACATGTAAAGCATTTCTCAAGTTATCGCGCCGACAAGATTTCTTTGTTTTAGCCACTGTGAACTTGACCTTTGGCCTTTTGGCCCCAAATGCAAAAGGCTTCTTAGGATTACCAAGAACAATCCACAAACCAAATTTGAAGTTCATATGTTAATTATTTCTCAAGTTATCGCGCTGACAAGATTTCTATTGTTTTAGCCACTGTGAACTTGACCTTTGGCCTTTTGGCCCCAAATGCAAAAGGCTTCTTAGGATTACCAAGAACAATCCACAAACCAAATTTGAAGTTCATATGTTAAGTATTTCTCAAGATATCGCGCTGACAAGATTTCTATTGTTTTAGCCACTGTGAACTTGACCTTTGGCCTTTTGGCCCCAAATGCAAAAGGCTTCTTAGGATTACCAAGAACAATCCACAAACCAAATTTGAAGTTCATATGTTAAGTATTTTTCAAGTTATCGCGCTGACAAGATTTGTCCGGACACACACACCCACCCACCCACCCATACTTGTTTCACATGACTAGTGTGGACTTTCCATTGCTTTCGTGTAGTTAAGAAAAACCAGTGAAAAAACTCATTTTTCTCAAACTGTGAAAACTCTTTCAACCCAATTTTTTTTCTATGATTCCCTTTAGTGTTTCTCTTCATTCTGCTACAGATAAACCTAACCCAAAAATGCCTCTAAACCTGTTTTCCAGAAATGGGGAAACACTGTGTGGACGTGGGGCAAGTCCACACAACGTCGGTGCTACCTACATTATGTGGACGTCTTTTGTTCGGAAGTCCACACTGCGTATGTAAGACAAACTCACCCACCCACCCACCCACCCACCCACATACACACCCACCCACCCACCCACGGAAGGACGAGGCGGAAACAGTATGCCCCTTCGGCGGAAACAGTATGCCCCTTCGGCTTCGCCGCGGGGCATAAAAAAAGTTAAATAAAGTTACATTAAGTTAAGAACAAGGTTAGTAAATAATCAAATTATTAGACAAACAAATCAAATGCAAAAAAAAAAACAACAACAATCAATTACTAGGTAAATTAAATGAATAAACAAATTAATATACATTGTACTTCAACTACTACTACTGCTACTACTACTTCTATTAATAGATAAATAAATAATTAGACAAGTTGGTAAGTTAGCCTAATTAATTAACTTGTGTGGCCTCCGTTTTGCTGCACTGTACGTTAGGCCACACGTCTGGTTTTCCAACCTACTGAGGAGTTCAGTCATGTCAGTCTAATTCCAAACACTGGCGCACCCTTTTTTGGTTTTTTTTTGGGGGGGGGGCCTACCACTGTATATAATGGTTGTATTCTATGATTTCTCATCTTTTGGTCTCTGGGTAGATTAGGTACTCTTTCTTCAAATTTTTGAGAACTTTAGACATCTTTCTTGAGTCCATAAAAAAAATTGCGCCAGTTTCGGACTAAACTCCTCAGTAGGTTGGGAAACCAGACGGGTGGCCTAAATGTACAGGGCAGCAATACAGAGGCAACACAAGTGGGGCTGTTACGCCCCAACTATTGTATCGGTCCCTTAGTTCATCAAGGGGCCCATCTATAGTTAGGCCACTCGAATCTTTTTATTTTGCGGTGTCCCAACTATACATGTAGTTTATAATTATTGATGTACAACTATAAACCATTCCCTACAGCTCTGATACAAGTCTGACTTTACTTGGGACCATTGATATTATAGCTGTTGATGGTGCCAATCTATAGTTGGGGCACTCCAATCTTTTTTATTTTTTGGTCCCAACTATAGTTTACATCGATGTACGACTATAAAATATTCCGTACAGCTCTGATACATGTCCGACTTTAGGCCTACTTCGGACCATTGACATGAGCTATGGGTGAGGCCCATCTATAGTTGGGCCACGCCAATCTTTGAATTTTGCAGTCCTAACTATAGTTCACTCGCTGTACAGCTACCGCCACCGTAACATTTCTACAGCTCTGATATATTGGCTACACGTCTGACTTGTCTATAGCTTGTCATCTACCATGTCTATAGCTGGGCCACGCCACAATCTTTGAATTTTGCATAAAAAATGTTGCTGGACTATAAAACCCAGCTGGACAACTCATCCAACTAGGCAGTACCGTGTGGCCGGCCGGCCCTGCGGCATATGCATGCACGACGAGCCAGCGCCGCGGAATACACCCTGTATCAAGCGTCCGGCGCAACTCCAATTCGTATAGTTGGGCCGATGTGGAGGGTAATTCTGTCCCCCGTTAAAAGTGTCCGGGGGGACAGAATTACCTAGGTAAAAGTGTCCTCCCCGGCCCGTTAATTCTGTCCCCCTTCGGGTAATTGTGTCCCCTCCAGGTTTTTTTTGTCCCCCTAGTTTTGCAACGCAGAAGGCAAGTAATTCCCTATATTGTTTTAACGAATTCAAATAAGCTATACCTTTTTTTTTACTTTTTAGTCTGCCCTTCATGAAGATGAATAAAATTAACTTTTTGGTCTCTTTGCACTACATTAGCCCTATTCTACGGTGGACGCCTCATTGATATAAAGCCGACATGGATTCGTCTGCGTTCTCCTCGTAGCGCGTAACGAAATTTCTCATTGGATGAATTTCCTTCGTGTAGCAGGATACACATTATACACATGCGATAAACGCTGCCACAAATCTTGCAGCATGTACTTGCGGCAGTGCGTGCGCTCACGAACACAACTCGTATCACCGCATGCATGCACGGGGACACATTTACCAGGGGGACACTTTCAACGTTGGGCAGGGGGACATATTTACCAGGGAGGGGGACAGATCTACCTAGGTAAATGTGTCCCCCCGGACAGATTTATCAGGTCACGAGCCGGTAAATTTGTCCGGGGGGACACATTTACCAGGGGGGGACAGAATTACCTGCCATACCGGCCTAGCCCCATTAATGTGGCCTATTTTCTGGACTGCCTCCGTAAACATAGGCCACACATCCACATGTACAAAAACGTGTCGCACTTTGCCAAATTTTGATTTTCGCATTTAGGCTTAGTTTGTAGGGTTTGCTTTAGAAGCATACTCACCCTCTTTATAGGCTAATCAGAAAGTGCTGCCTTTTTCAGATGTATATTTTTCGTGAAATTTCCAGATTCATTTTTACACGTTTGCGTATCAAAATTTCAACATGAATTTTCACAAAAATTAGACATCTGAAAAAGGCAGCACTTTCTGATAAGCCTATAAAGAGGGTGAGTATGCTTCTAAAGCAAAAAAATCCTACAAGTACAAACTAAGCCTAAATGTGAAAATCAAAATTTGGCAAAGTGCGACACGTTTTTGTACATGTGGATGTGTGGCCTATGTTTACGGAGGCAGTCCAGTAAATAGGCCACATTTATGGCGGTCTTACTAAAGCGCGTCAACAAGCATCAACAAGCGTCAACAAGCGTCAACAAGTTTTAGTAGTCGTTAAATGCGCGTCAACAAATTTTGTATAGGCCTTTGAACAATAAAAACAGCTTTATATGGTAGAAAAAGCAATAATGAACATCTTCTGCTTATCAATTAAAGTTAA